GAAATGTGAAAAAATAATGAGAAATATTATTTTCCAGGTCCATCACACAACTGCAATTTTTACAATATGTCTTATGGAGCTGTATTTCAAAGAGAAAGTAGATAGATATGTCTGAAAGGGTCCTATTTTTTTAAATTATTCCTTAATTTGCTACAAAAAAATCAGTTTAACCAGCCTTCAATGCTTCATCGTTCTAAACTAATGAGAACATCTGCAGTTATGAATCATATCCATGTCCACCTGAATGTTGTATATTGTATCTGCAACCCACATTCTATATTATATGCAGCAGATATATTTCTGACAACCAATACTGATAAATGCAGTTAATCCCAGATGCAAGCCAGGAATCTGTAAATGTAGTCATTTTTCTAGGATATTATTCCAGCAGGCCTATTTTGGAAAAAAAAAAAAAAACATCTTCTTCTATAAACTGCAATTTGAGCAAATAATTTAGAGCAAAGGCTTGGCTTATTCAGAATACAGTAATGGAATGCATCATTGCATAGTGATTGGAGTAAAAACAAATTTCAGTACAACATCACAAACAGTCCTTTCGCACAAAGTATTAATCATTCTGCCTCCATAAAAAAGGCAGACCAATAGTTGATAACCTACTAATCAAATTCCAGTCTTTGATGAAGCAACGGGATAATATCAAAGAAATCATTAAAAAGAAAAGGACACGAAGTTACCAAAACTACTTCAGAGAGCCTATATAATCCAGTTTGTTTAGGATTTACATACGGTATTCTATAGCAGAACCGATCTGCAACACACTCTTCCATGTGCAATTCAAATTCAGGTTCAAAACTTGACCTTCTGTTGATATGTATTCTGTCTCTCTATTAATGGGCAAAATGTTCTATCCCAGAGATGCAGTATTCCATGAAAATTCAAACCATTCCATTTTTTTCTTCTTATCATATAAATCTATGCTTTAAAAAGTCCAAAGACATTTGGAACTTCAATTTTCCATTCCAGAACATTTATTCATACTGAACTGGTGGACAATCCCAGAATGGCCAGATATATACATTCCAGAGGAACAATTCATAATTCTCTAAAAAGAAGGAGAGAGAGAGAGAGAGAGAGAGAGAGAGAGAGAGAGAGAGAG